CAGTAGCTGGGCTGCTGACAACACAGCCTAGTCAGAAGCATGTCAGTAGTAGTTAGAGTACAGTGAAGGTCAGTACAATTATGCATAAGTATTTTATGGTTCTGCTATCCCCCTCCTCCATTACCATGTAATCAATGTATTTATAAATAAATAGTATACTGAAAGCATCATGAGTTTTATATGGGAACTTTACTAATAGTTGGCAATCCAAAATGTGAACAATGAGTGATTAGTAACTAATGAGGAAGAGAAAATCAGTTTACTGGCAGACTGTGGCTTATCAGAAAGGTTGACGTGCTATTTATAGTTTTTAGTGTTTATAAAGTTTATAGAATTGTATGAAAATCTTTCTATCCCTTCACTGTTTTTATACCTGGCTGCCATTGGATGCTGGGGGTTGGTGGGGGGGAAGGAGAGCAGGTATCATGCAGATAGCCAGACTGTTCCAGATTCAACATGCAGCTGGCTGGGCCCATGAAGCCACAGCAGGGACTTTAGGTACCCCTGGTCAGCTCTGAATCTCTACAGGGCCGATTTCTATATTCATTACTTTTGAGATTTCTATTTTACTGTGCACCTTTGTTTCTGCAGATCACTCTCAATTTCCCATCCTCACATGTAAAAACCTATCCATCTCAGCTCTCATCTTAACTTCCTTCCTCGCTGTGTCAGAGGAAGAACCTGTACTGCTGTTACCTATGATCCAGTCAGTGCCACCTTTTACTCTGTCCACATATTGTTAACTCCTCTATCCCCTAGTTTCCTTCACCTCCCACTGGTAATGGATCTTCCTCCTTTGCATAACCTGACCATTTTTCTCCACTGAAAAGAACCAAGAACAAATTTCCTAAAGCAGCTGCCTTTTATCAGTCTCCTTTCCAGCTATTACAGAATCTGATTCCTTTCAAATAACACATCTTTTTCTAGAATCACTTCCCACTTCCATCTTCAAACCCAAGGTAACTGCTTTCATTCCATTCTCCATGGAAACTGCTCTGACTATAAAGATCACCAATCTCTTCCCTTATTTGATCTTTCTAAGCATTTTGATGTGTTCTTGAAACTCCTTAAGTACTTGAGATTCTCGTCTATTCAGTTTCAGTCTCCTTTAATGGCTCCCCAGTTTCCATCCACCTATTTACCCTTATTAAAGATCTGTCCTTGGTATTCTTGCCCCTTGTTCTTGTTTCCTGGGTGGTCTCATTCACATCCAAAGCTTCTACTATAACACATCCACTAATGACTCCTGCATCTTCATCTCCAGCTTAGACTCATATAGCCAACTGCTACTGTTCACCTTTACCTAACTGCCCACAGTCTAAACTCATTTCATGTAAAAATGAATCTTTCCTTTCCAAACTGCTATTCAATCTGTGTTTCCTGTTTTGTTGGAAAAAAAAAAAAGGCATTACCTGCCAAGCCAAGCCATTCATTCAGAAATCTGTATACAGTGGGCTCTACCCTGCGACTTGACATGCATTTATTTTATGTAACTTCTCCCCATAGCCTCAGTCCTCATTACCTCACGTGATCTCCTGGCTAATTCTAGTCCAGTGGTTCTCAAAGTGTGGTCTCCTCCTCAGTAGCAATAGCATCAGCTGGGCACTTAATTAGAAATGCAGATTCTTGGGCTACTCCTGACTACTGAATCAGAAACTCTAGGGTGGGGTCCAATAATCTATGCTTTAATAAATTTTTTAGGTCACTCTGAAGCTAAAGTTTGAGAACCACTGCTCTCTTCTACTCCCCTCTAATCCATTCTCCACACTATTAACACAGCTCTCTTGAAAAAAAAAAAAAAAAATTGAACAAATGTGATCATGTTTCTGCTTTGCTTAAAGGACTTCGGTGACATTTTGACTAGAAAGTGTAGTCTAAATTTCTTAGTAGAGCATAAAAAGTCCATCAGGATCTAGTTCCTACATACTGGTGTCAGAAAGTAAAGGAGAACTCATCATTTTAGTAAGAATGCACTGTCCTGTAGTGGTTAAGGAGATGAGCTGTGGAATTCTGGGCTTTCAACCTCTACCTTATCACTTTACAACTGGCTGTGTGACCTTGGATGAGTCACTTAACCTCACTATGCCTCAGTTTCATCATTTGTAAAATGAGTAAGGACTTCCTTACCACAAGGTGGTTGTGCAGTTAGCACAATTTGTGACACTTAGTCTAAACTTGGTGATTATTAGCTATTAAAAACAAAAAAATATCACTGGGATCAACATGGAGTATTGCAGGAACAGGAAAGGACTGATACGGCTAAGGGGGCCATGAAGGAGGCCCACTTCTCTGGGCAGTTTCACTTAGCCTAGATGTCAATAAAAATATCCAGATTCTTAAGAGAGAGGTTCTGAGGTCTTTGGGGGCTCTTTTGATTAGAGTAAGGTGGATCTATAATCAGATTCCACAGTATTATAGGAAAGATAAGGGACAAGCTTCTAAAGTAAGAGCCGGAAAAGCAAATTGTCAAACAGGAAAACTCAAGGGAAGAGCAAATCAGCAAAGTTGGTGATTAATTTCATATTTGTTTCTCTGGTAAAACTTAATAAAGTTCAAGTTGCCTACTGATTAAATACGAGAGTCCTAGTGCGATGAGGCTTTGAATGATGATGGGACTCAAGTTCTAACCTCCACCCCACATTGGTTTAGATCTTGGGCAAATTACTTCTTTACTGCCTCAATTTTATAATTTGTAACATAGGGCTACATAATGAAAATTAGTACATATATACTTATTAGTACAGCATCTAATATGTGGGAAGTATTCAATACAGGGCAGCTATTATTGGCAGTACATTATCTTTAATACAAATCATATATAAAAATAGGCACCTCTAGAGATTCCTGTTTGACTAAAGCTACTGTATATTATCTAATATTTCAACTAGTACTTGGTTATAACTTATAAAACTGGGGAATACTGTAAAGATAGATCCAAATACAGTCATATTTAGTGTTTATATCATTTAGGGATTATCAATTTTCACTTCAAATATGTGTGCGATTAATTTTATTCAAATGTTTACTTAGTGTCTTTAGGTATTAGCAAGACATTAGGCTAGGGGTGGGGGGAAAGACTACCAAGATGAATAAGGCATGGCTCCCGTCCCCACAGGGAATATAGGCTTGAGAAAGGAAAGGTTCAATCCTAACAAGACAATTAAATGCTGTATAGAAGGAAAAAAATACCGTATAGATTAAAAGTCTTTACCAAGTTGACTAATTTTTCAAAACTCTACTTCTCATCTTCTCTATCTTCCTCTGAATTAGTCTCAATCCATTTTTACTTATTCCATCTTTAGTTACAGCAGGGAGTCAATATCTGTAAAACCTGGTAACTGTCACCCACTAGAACACAAGATAGCAGTCATTGGTTTTTTCTGCCATGTTCTCCGTGCACAGTGGAAAGTAGGGTCTTGTTCCCTTTGTCCTACACAAGGAGGCTCACTCTGTTTCAGCTGTTAGTTCAGATGGTACCTGCTCAGAGGGCCTTTCTCTGAGTGCCCACTCTGAAGTTTTCGCTATTACCTTCAAAGCTCTACCTCTGTGGTGAGTGCTGTGATGTGCCACCCTAACCCACCTTAAGAATGAGACACTACCTCAGCTCCCAGGAGAGCCCGGCCAGCCCTCAGACCCCCTCCAGGGCTGACTAGGCTAAGGAGAGCTGATGTTACACCCTCTTCCCAGGAATAGATCCCATCAACGCAGGGGTAAAAAGCCTTAGCCCTTCTCTCCAACGTGGGACAACTTTGAAGGGCCCGCCGGACACCAGTGTTCCTGTGAGACAGGTGGAGGCCTTCCCCCGGACTGCACTGCAGCTCAGTGTTGCCTATCCACCCAGTCCTGCTTCCGTTCTTCCTAATGATCCAAAAGTCCTTCCTAATAATGCCCTGCCCTCAAGTCTCCTCAAAGCCTGCTTCCCAGGTAACCCAACCTAGGAGAATCTGGAAATGCCTTGCTCATTTATCAATGGACTTTTTATTGTTTATTTTCCTATCACTGCGATATGAGCTCCACGTGGGCAGGGACCATGCCTGCCTTGGTCACTACTGTATCTATTAACTCAGCAGTGATATATATATATATATACATATATACACACACACATAGCTATCTATACAAACACACACACACGTATACATGTACAGTTAGTATATATAAATTAGATAGTATACATATATAGCGTGTCCCCCAAAAACATACACATGCTCCGAATGATGATAAAGTCTGTAGTTTATTAACATACAGTTCACTTTCAAAATTTAAAAGAACGTACAGCAAGGAGTCATTTCGTTAGAGTGTGATGCAGTTTTTGAGGACGCCCTATATGGTACACAGTCTATATAAAGTATGGATAAGCTGTCAAACAATGAAGACACCGCCAGTAGGGAGAGCCCTGAGAAACAGCAGCAGGATCCCGGGCACGGTCCCCTTGGAGAGAAAGGCGGGCATGGCCTCCGGAGGCCGCCGCCTCGGAAGGGCTTCGACCCCATAACCTCCAGGGCGCCGAGGCCTGCGTCGTCCACAGGCGGCACTACCGGGCTGGCTGTCCCAGTTCCGACGCCAGTGCCCCGCGTCCGAGGGCGCCCCCTAGAGAGCCGCAGACCCACCGGGAAGGGGTGCCCGTCGGGTCCCGTCGGGCTGGAGGCGGCGGCGCAGGCGCACTGAGCGCTCTCGCGCGCCACCTTTTCCACCCGGGGCCGGGCGGCCGGGAGGCTGAGGCGGCGCCGCACCCGGAGCTCGGCCGGCGACACTGGGACACGCCCTCGCCACCCAGTCCCGCCTCCAACGAGAATTTACTGCCTAGAACTTTTTCAAAGCTCGGCTTCAGCTTTCTAAGGAGCCGCTCGGCTGCCTCCTTATCCCCGCCCCCAAATATCCTACGGAAAGGACCCTGTGACCTTCCCGAGCCGGCGCAGGAGGCACCTCCTAAGCCACCCGCCCCTCTCTCGGGCCGCGCAGAAAGCCGGCCTGTCCGCCTGAGACGCGAGCGCTCTCACCTGCCCACCGGCCGCCGCGCCTCCCTAGGCCGCCGCCGCCAGCGGGCCCCAGAGGCCGAGCCTCGCGAGGAAGCGGACACTGTTCCCTGCAGCCCGCGCCGCGCGCTGGGAGACGGAGCATGCGCGGCTCTGCGAGGACGGCGGGTCCCGCTCCGGCTCCTCCCTCCGGGCTTTAGGGAAGTTCTCAGCCTAGAAAGCGGCGGCCCCGGCCGGAGGGAATGGGCCACCGATTTATTCGCGCCACCCTCAGGGGGCGGGGTTTATCCAGCATCAATCACGGCAGGTTGTTGAAACTGAAAAATTTAAATAGCATATCAAATTGGAACAGCATCTTCCTCAGCTGTACTCAGGAGGCACTTACTGGATGAAAAACAGTAGCACACGACTCTCAGCGGCTCCCGGGCCTCCCAGATTGGACCAATCACGAAGCTTCGAATTCTGCCGTTCAGCGCCAACTGCCCGCCCTCTTTTACGGCTGCCTTGAAAACGAGGAGAAAAGGACTCCCCGTTTCTCTGGATTGGGTTGGAAAGCGGGCATGCGCAGTACGAGCTGGGCGTCCTCCAACAGCCTCTACCCTCAACCCTAAGTGTGCGGGCTTTAGGGAAGGGCGCAGGTCTTGCTTTGCAGTTTTGCAAAACTTTTTATCTCCTCTACCATTCTAAGGAAATTATGTTTATGCCTATTTTAAAGTTGATCCCGCATTGTAAAAGTCACCTTTACTTTCAAACCTGTCTTTCCTATCACCTTCCCTCTCCGAACATTCCGAAGTGCATCCGGTGTCAAGAAACCCTTCACCACAGAAACGTGGCGTTTTGTTTTTAGTCACCACCGCTGTCAAGCGCTGCGGGTCACCGTCACTGGTCACCGGCCAATCATCTTCCCTGCGTCCACGGGCTCTAACTAGCTAGCCTTTGGCGCCGTTTTCTGGTTCGTTTTTGAACCCGCGAGATCATGACCGGAGGCCATTTTTCTTTTGGGCAGATTCCTCGCGATAGCCAGGCTCCAGGACCGGTGTTTAGCCGCCATCTTAAGTCCTGGTTGTGGCTTCACGCGGACGGCGTCGCTGCCCAGGTGCTGGTGTGTCTGGGCGGCGGCGGCGGCGTTCCCGGCCCGGGACGGGGAACGTGACCGAACCTGAAGCGGCAGAGCTTGCGAAGGTTGGCGCCAGAGCCCGCTGCCTCTCTAGTCTGAGTGTCCACAACCAGACCCTACTTCCCGAGTGACCCGGGACAGTAACAAAACAAATAAAAGCCCGCACCCAACCCCCGCCTCCAGCCTAGGTAAGAACGTGGCACTCCCGACCACCGGCGAGGTTCCTTCGCTTGAGCTCAACTGTTTGTCCATCTCTCCTCGTGGGTTTTTTATTTTTTTTTTATTTTTTTGAGCTTTTTCTGAATCCTTCTCCCTGTGGTTCCACCTCTATTTATTGTTGTCAAAGAGTGAAAACGATGTTAAACATAAGGGTGCGGGAAGCCTGGGCTTTCAAGTTGGAAGTGCTGGCCTGGAAAATGCCTCCTTTTTCGTTTCTGAGCACAGAGCGGACCGCAGTGAGCGGGTCAGCTCTTTGGCTCCATCATCTGTACGTACAGGTGTGACCCCTCCCCGCACGTTTCTGGGTCGTGACCGCCGGTCGTGGCCTCGTGTGCGCTCGTTTATGCACCTTCACTGCGCACCGCGCGCCAGGCCGCGGGAAGGCGCCGTGAGTTGGGGGAACGCTTCCTTTCACGGAGGGTACCTTCTACCCACCTCGGCAGCTCCCAGGCTGGGGCAGGTAATCCTGCAGGTGTCCCTCGGACGCGGTGTGACCGCCGCAGTGAAGCTGCGGGAGGGCCTCGCCGTCCGTCTGTGAAGCTCGCGCCGCCCGTGCAGCGCCGGAAGGCCAAGTGCGATGGCGCGACGGGCGCCCGCATCTTTTGGTTCTGGGCGCTGCTGGACCGTCCAAGGATTTAAATACTCACTTGCGCCTTCTAGCCTCGCCCCGCACCACTGTTTTCTCCCCCTTTCCTAGGAACACATCGTATTGACACTGATGTCCTGGAACCGAGGCTTGAGGGTCACCAGGCCGCCGGTTCACCTCGTGGGCGGCGGTGGGAACCGGGCCCTGGGTGCTGGGTCCCCTGGGCTCAGCCCAGACCTGGGCTCAGCAACCTTGGGTTCTGGCCAGGAAAGAATTCCGAGCCAAGACCCGAGCTCTAAGAGAACATTTACTTGGTAAAATTACAGAGGTGGAAGAAGTAATTCCTAGAAGAAATGAGCTTAGGAAACACGGGAAAGAAGTGCCCTTGGAGCTGAGGGGTGAGGAAGCTGATACTCACCTGCAGGGGGAGTGGGGGTGGGGATGGGGCAGGGAAAGGCAGAGGTGCCCCGGGCCCCTCCCCACCGGGAGAGGGCTGGGTGTCAGCTCTAATGGTTTTAAGGGAGGAGATGTTAGGGGAGGTCCCAGGGGGAACATCTCAGCATAATGTTCAGCAGCTTTCCAGTTGTGTCCTTTCAGGGCTGTGGGCTCCACTGATTGATTGGGTGGTGTCAGGGGTGGGGGCAGTTACTCAGTGCAGCTGGTTCTGAGGTCAGCTGTGGCTGGTTTTGTTGTTCTTTGGGCCTTGAGCTGAAAAACAGCTGAGGCCTAAATGTTATCTCTAGGGAGGAAAGATCAGGGGATCCAAACCACATGACCAGTGATATGCTAGGGGAGGAAAGGCCACCTTGGGGGGGGGTAAGGTCCCACCTTACAGTTGTCCTTTGTCAGGCACCCAGGGCTTTCCATCCTGGTGACCTTCTGAACCTGGCCCATCTTCTTGCTCTGCTTATTGTCTAACTGCCTACCACAATTTTACAACCAGTATTCAAGTTAGGTGGGGACTTGCTGCTAAAAATGTGGTCTACCTACCAGCAGCATCGTTGTCACTTGGGTGCTTGTTAGAAATGCAGTTGTAGACCACGTCCTAAGACCCACTGAGTCAGAATCTTCCCTAAGAAGTGTATCCTAAAGTGCAAGGAGCACTCATTCAGGGCACAGACTAAAGACAAAGATGGTCTCTTCAATCTGTGCTGCTTAAACAGTTCACAATTTATTGTCAGTTTATTCTATGTTTTAAATGCAGTGGATATGTGGCACATTTTTTCAGTGCTTAGCTTATCACCTTGATGTCAAGATGCCAATCTTAGCATTCTAAAAAGTTGAAGAGAATTTGTCAGTCTGGTATGTTACTTATGTAACCTGTTCTGACAACACCTCTGTGCATATTTTTACTTTGAATTTATTAAATCTTGGCCTGCGTGTGTTCAGCAGTGTAATATTGATTTGAAAAACCTTGGGCCGTGGTTAAACCTTTTTGTCACACCTTGCTTTCTTCTGTCTTCCTTTAATGAGAAATCTAAACCTGATTTATCTCAGGTCTTTTAATATTGCCGCTCATGAAAATCACCTGGGGAGTTATTTTTTTAATCCTCACCCGAGGATATTTTCTACATTGCTTTTCAGAGAGAGAGAGAGAGAGAGAGACAGATGTGGCACATCAACTGGTTGCTTCCCTCGAGGGGCAGGGGATTGCCCTTGGCTGGAACTGAACCCGGGACTCTTCAGCCCATGGGCCAACGTTCTAACCGGCTAGGCCTCACCCAGGGAGGTTTTTTTGAAAGACATCTGCACAATGTCAGCAGAGGTTGAGACCTGCAGATGGAATTAAGGAACCAGTAAGGTATTAGAGAAACTGTAAGTGACTTTTACATTTTCCATGTTGTTGTATGTTAGGCTTTTATCATCCTTACTCAGTTTTACTTAAAGTAATTAGGATTTGAAGGCAGTTAAGAGAATTGGACTGGGAATGTGGTGAATCAGCTTCCCAGTAATCAGTCAACTTGCATTTATTTATTCTATGTCCGGAGCAAGTTGTGTAGCCTTTCCGTCTCTTCTCCCTCCACCTATTAATCGGGAAAAGAAGAATGAAGACCATGTTGTTTTTATTTAGAATTGTGAGTGTTTCAAAAGATCTAGTATTGAATACTTAAATCCTGTGAATATGAGGAAGAACAGTATTTCATAAGTGCAATATTCATTGCTTCTGATTTCCACATACAAGCTTACCTTGTTTTATTGAGGTTCACTTTATTACATTTCACAGGTCTTGCTTTTTTTACAAATGGAAGACAAGACCCTCCACCAGCAAAAAGATTACAACTTGCTTTATTGCAATACATAGTTTATTATGGTGGTCTTTTTTCTAAAAAAACAACTTTATTGTGGTATAATTGTCATACAAGAAACTGCACATATTTAAAGTGTACAGTTTGATGTATTTTACATGTAGACACCACTAAAACCATCAGCACAATCAAAATAGCATATCTATCACCCCCAAAAGTTTCCTCTGGCTCTTTGTAATCCCTTTGGCCACTGTCTTTTTATTTATTTATTTGTTTATTTATTTATTCTGGTTGCTCTCTTTTAGGCAACCACTAATCTGCTTTCTGTCACTCTAGATAAATTTGCATTTCCTAAGATTTTATCTAAATGGAATCTTACTGTAGGAGCTGATTTGGGGGGGCACGTGGAGGAGCTTCTCTCACCATAATTGATAGCCATCTTTGTTTTTGTAAGCATCAATAGTTCGTTCCTTTTTAATTGCTGAGTAGTGTTTCATTGCGTGGATTATACAGTAATTTGTTTATACCTTCACCAGTTGAAGGGCATTTGGGTTTTTATTTTCACAGTGTTCATTTCACACTGCCTTCTCCAGTTTATTTGAATTGGCAAAAAAAAAAAAAAAAAAAAAAAAGTCTATTTGGTGGCCAAACCTACGTACAGTGAAACCAGGAGATGACAGAGATAAAATGTGTTTGTATCGGGATGTTACCTTTGCCATTGTACAATTTATGAATTGTTTTCTGAGTGAAACATGTTATGGTTTGACTTTTTAGTGGATTGTATCTCTTGATGTGTACATTTCTAGTCACTTTAAGCTTTATTTAATTTTTAAAGTTTACTATTTATATATTACTTTTTAGGTATTGAGAACAATAACTCATGCATCTAAGTAACTTACTCATTAAGCAGCAAAATAGAGATCTGTGAAGTCTGTCCGTCAGTGGAGAGTACCACTAGTGTTGATTGATGATTGATGTAGGTACATTTCGAGGCTTTTTGCTTCTATTATAGCAAAGCAGTGCCTCATGTTTATTATGGTATTGACATTTTGTGTTTGAAAAAATCAGTGCTGGTAACTAAAATTGGATATGCCTTATGTTAGTTATACGATAATATATAGAATATTGCAGTTACAATATTTTGGGCATTTAAAAGTTCAGTTGTGTCATTATTTTGACTTAGTCTCTTGTTAGAAAAGGTTGGATTTTTTGTTTTTCAGTTTTAAAAATATTTTTAATTAACGTGGTAGAATTTACTCTTTTAGGTGTAAATTTCATGAATATTGACCAATGTGTTGATCTTATAACCACCATCCCAATCAGGATGCAGAACAGTTCCATTACCTCCCCCTCCCAATTCCCTTCTGCTACCCCTTTGTAGTGACCCCCCACCACTCCACCCACAGCCATCAATGATCTGTTCTCCATCTCTAGAGTTTTTGCACTGAAAGAATTAGATTTTAAGACGATTGCATTAATGATTACCAGAAGCTTTTTCCTATGGTGAAGGTGACTGGAAAACAGTAGTTATCAGAGTGGGCTTGGATTGATTATGTGCTCTCTTGTGCTCTCCATGTTTATAACGATTGTGGTTAACAGACTGAGTACTGACTGCGCTGGGCCGAATATCACATATCTGATCTCACATAATCCTCACAGGACTCTTGAGAAAGACACTTATCATAGATTTTTTTAAAAACACCAAAAAAAAACCCCACCAGAGACTTAGAGGAGTTGAATAGTCTGTCAGAGGTCACATGAAGGGGCAGAATTTGAACACATGTCTGTTTTACTGGAACCTGGAGGCCTTGGCTGCTCTACATGGTGGTGCCTCTGTCTGTTTCTGACAAAGTATTAGAAATTAGATGTCTCTTAGTGAAGCATCCTGTACAGCTCTGGGTGGGGATTTTCGTGGGCGCAGCAGGAAGGAGAGGCCCAGAACATGGGTCAAATGAATGGGTTAAGGGTATAGAATAACTAAAAGAACTGTTCTGTGGAATTAATCATGGTAGAGGATTTCAATATTTGACTAACATTTTAAAGACAAAGAGAAAAAAGACCTAATTTTTTTTTCCACTTTGCATTATCCTCCTCCCATTGTTGGAGTTTCCCTTTGTTTGTTTTTTTAATTTCGTTT